CAAGCAGGGGAAGAAGCAGGCAGAGGGAGAGGGAGAAGCAGGTTCCCTGCTGAGCAGGGAGCCCGATGCGGGGCTCGATCCCAGGACCCTGGGATCAGGACCAGAGCTGAAGGCAGACGCTTAAACGTCTGAGCCACCCAGATGCCCCAGAAAAGTCATTTTAAAAGGACCTACATATATATGGATTTGGGTATATATATATTGGGTACGTATGGATTTGGGCTATAAGAAAATCCCAGTGAGATTAAAAGTCAGCAAACACTGTACAGAAACATGGCTTAGATGAGGACCTACTGAATTGGATTTTAATTGTCTTTGCATCTTTTTTAATCAAAGTGAGAACTGGAATATTAGGCCACTGAATGTCTCCTTCCCCCCTTCCCCCCCCAAATTAGCTGTTATTTGAAAAGCCAATGACACAACACGGAGAGAAGAGGAGAGGTAGCAAAACACACCTTCCTAAGTCATAAATCAAATGGCAAAAAGTACAATAGAGCATAGTAAACCCTCACCAGACCACAAAGAAGGTTTCTCTCCATAAACATCAGATCAGGCAGCTAGAATGATTACCAGGCTCTCCTGTAACTGTCGCCTATAGTGGGTCTAATTACAGGCTACAGGCTAAGGCAAGCATGCCCGCACTGCACATGGCAATAAAAGGGCCATCAGCTTGCCAAGCCCAGCCAGACAACGGAGAGCACACGCCACCTGATGGGGAGCCCCAAAGATCAGCCAGAGAGACTAATAAAAATGACAGCTTAGAAACAAATGACAAAGCTTGGGCCACAAAAAAAAAAAAAAAAAGGCAGTATCAAATTAGCCAAAAATACAAGTGCTGAGCACGGCTCTTCAACAGGTCCGGACCAAAGCAGGGAACCAGTTATAACAAGTTATAACTGTTTTCCCACCGGTGATTTTTCTCCCTCTCCTTCTCGCTTATTTCTAGATTTTTTCACTTTTGCATCATACAAAATGTTTGCGCATCCAGGTGTCACATATAGAAACAGATGGGGGGGAAGCACCCATCTCTATGAGCATCAAAAATAAAATCCCCCTCATTCAGGGGCTGTTGATCTGGGTTAGAGATTTGCCAGCGCCCTTCCTCTTACCCCTGGTACTCTAACTGCTGGCTGCCTTTTGGTCCTTTTGCTGTAGATTAGCACCACCCCCTGGATGGGTAAGCATCGAGGGAAAGCTAGAAAAATGCACATTAGACAAGATTATGATGAAGCTGTTAGACTGTCTATGGATTTTACCTTCTGATATGGCCACAGGCTGTCATGGTCAGAGAAGGAGTTAGGATAAAAAGAAAGCAGTATCTGATAACAGATGGTCTGTACTGGTTCTAGCACTCTTCCAAGAAGCATTGATTAGAAGCCTGCTGTGTACCCAACACATGAGCCATAAGGACAAACGCAGAGGTAAAAGATGGGGTCTTTGCCATTGTGTAGCTCACACTGTCCTAAAACAATCCTTCCAACATATGGCTACAATACACTGAATAAGTCTTTAGTGTTTCACGTTAACCTGAATTATTAGGTCATAGAAACAAAATTCCTCCATTTTTGATGTGAAGAATTAATTTATTAGGTCCAACATGAAGAGTATTCTTAGAGCTTTAAAGACAGAACTGCATGCTTTGGCATTTGGTGGTTCTATGCATATGAATCAGCCCTAGAAATAGTTGACTCTTGAACACTAACGATATGGCATGTAATACAATGATTTGAATTTCTACCCTATCCTGAAACAGGTCTTTCACAAATCCTCAGATAACATCCTCTGTGATGCGCATGTATGTGTGTGCACCTGCTTTAGTGAAGCCTCTCTCTGAGTTAGGAGAATACCACCATACCTACTAATAGTGATATCAGATAATAATCCCTACCCATATTTGTAGCCCATTTCGTATTTTTAAAATATTCCCTTGCATATTATCTAAGTTGATCTCCAAAGGATAAATTTAAATTTTCTTACAGTGTGTGTCAATCATTAAACGGCATCACTTTGGTTTCAACTATAAGAGGAGGGCAGTGGAGAGAAGTGGGGTGGGAGGAGGAGGCAAGAGAAATGGGGAGGGGGGCTGGGGAGAAGCTGGGAGGAGGGGCAGATGGATGAGAAGGAGGAAGGGAGAGAGGAATGAAGGGAGATGGGGAGAGAGGGGAGGTGGATAAGGGACTGGTGAGGACTTAGCATGACAGTTTCATCTTTGTGCCTCAGTATCTAACAGGGCTTGAGACTCTGGACAAACAATGGTTGTAGAAAGCGAGGGAGGGAATGCATGGGGCAAGCTTGAAGAGGGCATTGGCTGGGTCAAGGAGTGACATGACCTCCAGGTTTCTTCTTTCTCTGAGATTGAAGACCCTACACTCAGGACCAAGTTCAAATTAACAGTAGGGTATCTCTGGACAGTAGAGAGAACTAGACTGAATTCACTGAGAATCTGAAAAAGACAATGGCTCCCAACCAGAAAACTCACAGAAGGCAGAAAACGTGTGTGTGTGTGTGTCTGTGTGTGTGTGTGTGTGTGTGTGTGAGTGAGTGAGTGTATCCCACCAGAAAGCCATAGAGGAGGCAGTAGGTAGAGACAAAAGCATTCCCATATAGAACTGGCACCTGTCATACAAAAGTGAGAGTTAACCATTCATTTGTTATCTAATGGGGCCATGTGAAGATTGGCAATGTATGCTCTTCTATGAATTAAAAAAAAAAGACCAAAAAAAAAAAAAAAAAGAAGAAGAAGAAGATCTAATGCTTACTAGTCAAAATTGGGACACTCTAAAATATCAACTGATTCAGTCAGCGTAGCTATGATTCTGTCTAAAAGTGCAATTCAATTATAAAGTTGAAAATATAAACATGAAAATATGCTAGAATAGTTAAGAGTGCACTTTTAAATTTTCAACAGATAATCTTTTAATGCAATTACTGTAATTTTATTAAATGGCATAATTAGTTAATGCCTGAGTTGTCAATAGAAGGTGCAATTATGTTGTAAAAATTATAATCACAATGTGTGATGGTGGATTGTTCTGATGAAAAAAATGCTGAAAAAACCCTTTAAAATATTTTTGAAGATATATTATGTAGTCCTCTGTAAAAGGAAGATTTGGGAAATCATCTTATAAATGTTAAATAAAACAATAAATTGTCAAATATTTCAAGCATTTTACACGATATATTTATACATTTCGCACACAAGTACATATGGACGTATTTAAAATGTCAAAAAATATCTTCTCCTCCAGACAAAATGGTTATTGGAACTGGATTTTTTTCAGCTTTAGAGAAGTACTGTTAATCTTGAGCTCCAACTGCGCAAACACCTACTGAACAGGCAGTGAGGTCTGTTTTGTACATACAACTGACTTCTGGTGGATATGGAAACAGCCACCAAATGTTTAATCAAATGCAGGTGCATCTAGTTGTGAATAAATTGATGATAGAACTTAAAGAAGAAGTAAATCTTTTAGACACAGTTAACACATAAATACCAAAAGCATCAAGAAGACATGGACCAGCACTATTTTAATAGTCTGATTTAAAAACAAAATTCCCATTATAGTAGTCATTTGTAGCAAAGTACTTTCAACCTGAACATTCTTTAGACCACAGAATGGATCATGGACAGAAGCATCCTCAAGATTGCGTATGAAATGCTAACTAAACTGTTTTCACACCATGTTTCATGGAGAAACTTCGTATTTTCCAAATACCTTTGCCTCTTAGGCTCTCTTAGTCTCTCTCTCTGTGTTTCTGTGTTTGTGTGTTTGTACACACGTGGCATGTGGGTTGGAAGGGCCCATTCTGTTACTGCTGCTGTTGTTTATAAGTTCGATGCGAAATCATTTCACATTTCTCAACATTCCAGGATCTCTAAAAGCTAAGAATTCCATGTATACGAAATATGGGATTTCACTAAGAAAGTGGGGAACTGTATTTTTAACCTTATTGGAGGAGAGGTTGATTGATGCTTTAAATTATGTATCATGTCGCAGGCCCTGTCGACTCTGAAGAAGAAATTCTTCATTTTCTGACACTCAAAAAATTGAGGAAAAAAGTCACAGATGTTAAAATCATAGCTTTATGAAGATACCCACTGATATATGGTAGATTTAGATTACTTTTTAACATCAAATGTCCAAGTAAAAATTTAATAAAACAAGGAATCCATCAATGCCCCACAGACTTGCGTCCCTTTAAGCAATAGGTGTGTGCCTGAAAAACTCGTGGAAAATTGAAAAAAAAAAATGCAATCCTTTTTTACAGCATTAGGAGACCTTTGTTATTTAAAATAATCTTCTGATGATGCCATCTGTCAAGTAAATGCTTTTTTGTCATATGAAAATAATTCACTTATGCCATAATGTAACATTAGGTCTTTTCATAGACAGTATTGGGGTTTGTAAAATACATGTACCCAACAGAAAAACAAACAAAAATCCCCCATAGATGATTGGTTCCACAGTATAAACATCACAATGCAGAATTATCTTTTGAGAACAAATTCAATTCATTGTAACTATCATTAAATAATGTATTTGTCTGGAAACATGGGGAGAGACTATAGAGTACCGCCCCCTCCCCACACACACACTAGAAATGTGGGTCTACCTCTCCGATAGCTGTTTGAAGGAATGCATTAATGTAGATAGACAGATAAATGTGCTCATCTCTACTCTTATCCTTTATTTTGAACAACCTGGAATTCTCAAAAAGAATCTGGCAAAACTGTAGATTCCATCCATGACTCTTTCATGTACTTGTTTTCAGCATTCATGCTCCCTTTGAAAGCCCTTCTCCATCATCTAAGAGTTTCCCCTGCACAGTGGGTAAAAATAACTCAGTCTCCAATTGGGGGCTCAGCCTGGAACCAGCCACTGAGATTTTCCAGACCACCAAGCTAGATTCCAAGGATGTCATGCGCATGTGATTCCCAGGGTCGGGGCTGTTCCCCAGAGATGGTACAGACATTTCCACCTTATGCTTCTTTAGTTCTGGCTCCATCTCTTGTGAATATAATGATCATGACTAAGAATTATTCCCACCCAAATGATGAGGGTCCCCCCTCGCCCAAAGCATCTTGGAAAAGGCTTAACTCCCATTCATTACATCTAAATACATATCTGAAATGACTAATGTCATTGTCCCTACAGTCATTATCATCTATTTAAATACCAGGACCACAATCACTGCAATTCTGAACATCAGTGAGAGGTAGTACAGCTCAATGGTTAAACACATGTACTCTAAAGCCTGATGGTCTGGGTTAATATCCCAGCTGTGCTTCTTAAAAGCATATGAGCTCTGACACTCTATTTAACCTCTATGGGTTCATTTTTCTCATCTGTACAAAGAAGGTAATAACTGATACCTACATCAGCAGGTATTGGTGAGAATTAGATGAGGTAACATTTGCAAGATGCTTCGGACGGTGCCCAACACACAGTAAGCACTGAAACGTGAGCTATTAAAGACACCTAGAGGTGAAAGTCTGTGTCTGAGAATGACCATGTGCAGGTCTATGAAACACCATGTGTAATTACAAATCCATTCACAGGGCAATACCCAGATGTGCTTCTTCTAGGCATCATTTTTAGTTACCCTGTGCCTCTGTCAATAAACTGACATCGTTTTCCTTTGGAAAAGTTGAGAATAGGACTCTTTGAGCAGAAAAAACAAAATATATACGTATTTAATTTATAACAAGTCAAGCTCAGAAAATGCAACAGAGTAAAATATCTAGAAAACGTGGAGGAAAGAGAAAGACCCAAGAGACAAAATGAGCAAGATTTTCCATAGTCATGCCAACAAAACAGAAATTGAGCCTATAGACGCATGAATGGCTTGACCACTCAGAAAAAAAATCCAAATTTAATTTCTTACAACAATGAATTCAATGCTGTGGGCAACATTCACATAGCATGTGTCAGTGGATTAATGACAACTTTCTTCTCCAAGTGTTAGGAATACAGCCACCTGGGTAAGTAGAAAGGGGATAAATCCCAGGGTGGAAGGGTTTACGCCTGGACAGTCTAATAAGATAAATCTTCCCGTGTTTGTCCACCCACTTCTGACCAGACACCATGTGGACTTCTATCTTTCTAGGCCACTTGTCTTGAATGCTGCTTTCAACAAGCTATGATATATTCATATACACACCCATAGGAATCCTTAGAAACGTATGCTTTGCTTTCATAAAGTCTTAAATTGAACAGCCAGAATATACCAAACACGATCCTACAATGTTCATGCTTTGTCTCCTCTGAAAACAGAGACACTGACATGATGTTAATCGGCTATTTTATGTTATCTGACAAAACATAAGAAAAAAAATTCCTATAGTTTTGCCCTTAGCTTGTGGTGCTAGAGTCACTTCCTGGACCTCGAGGGGAAGGCAAAGCCCCACTGGGAACTGGCCCAGCAAAAACGGTTCTTTACCCATCTGTGCAGTGAACCCTCAGATACCACTCATCCTACTTTCGAATATAAAAAGGCCTTCAAATGCAGTCCTACTATTTAGTAAAAGCTTGGCCTGAGACCTTGCTTCAGACCACCACAAAACTCTTCTGCCCGTAACGCCAAGGTAAGTGAAAGAAGCATGAACAAATTGTCACACCAATGAATAAGGGCCAGTAACAGCATCCTGTCCTTGGTAGATCCCAGGAGAGAACCAGGTGACACTACCAATCTCTTCAAGAACAAGTCCCAGCATTCTCCACAGCGGAGCAAGGAAGAGAAGAAGCAGGCCTTCGGCATCACAGGAGCCCTTCCTTTCTCTGGCCCAGGTCACCTGAGGATCCAATGCTCTGCAGAAAGACAACCCTTAATGGGATCCCACAGAGTCAGGGACATAGTACCACAGCCAGTGGTGGCCCCAAAGTGTGAAATTACCCATCCGTACATTCAACAGGAGGCTAACATCATCAGTATGTAGGCAAGAGGCATAAAAGCAAAATGTTCTCTCCAAAAATGAAGTCTTGGATACCCATAATCTTAAAATATAATAAGGGAGACTAATATACATATTTTTATTTTATCCTGGAAGTACCTTTTCTTTATATGCTCTTGCTTTAGGAACAGAAAAGAGTTTTGGAATGACCATGATGATAGTAGTCACAAAAACATTCTCTAATAAGATGACACTTCGTCAGCTTAGGGAGGGGAGAACACCTCTCTCTCTATCTGTAGTATCTCTGAGATCTGCCAAGGCTGGTCAAAGTAGACATGAGATAAACATTCGAACACGGCATTTCAAATTAAAACTGAAAACTAAATGCCTTTAAGGGAGCACTCCTCATTCTAGTACCTTCACAGAAAAGGTTCATGCATGTATCATTCCTAAATTGACTGCATTTTTTTCAGTGATGTCCACTGGGAAATGTCCCCCAATAAATACACACACGCAGTGGAGACTCCCCCAGGCTCACAAACCCTTGCAAAAATCACACTGTGGACAGCCAGCAAGGAGAGCACCATCTTTATCTTCCATTTGGGGGGCCATAGTGACTTGAAAGGATGAAGTGGCCGCCTGCATCTGCTAGCCTGAGAGCGCGTTTCCTGGCCTGGTGCCCCCAGGACGGACGCATGCAAGGACCCACCATCAAAGCTCCCTTCCCATTCAGAAGCCCCCTCTAGTAGACAACCTATTTCTATTCATTTGTTCTAATCTTTCTTCAGATCAGGCCAGCGGCCCATTAATCATTTCTGTCATTCTCCTACATAAGCCAGTGCAATGGAGCTCTGTTTTTCTAAAAATCACGGTGCCAGAAATTAAGCTCAAGAAAGAGGAAATCCTCTTCTCCTCACAGGGGCTGGCTGGGGTGCTGACTGAAAGAAGCCACCAATTGTGTTGACTTTCCTCTTTTGCCCAGAATCACAAGAGAACATTCCGTGGAAAGTTTCTGAAGAGAATTCAGGTGGGAAGTGGAGGTGGGGAGGCTGAAGAGGAAGGCAACACATGAGGTCCCCAGCGGAAAATGTTATAAGAAAGGGAAGCAGATGAATAAATGCCAAGACAAGACAGATATGGATTACTAGCATTTTTACTAATGTTCTTATTAAGGCCAATTGTTTTTAGCAATTCCAGACCAAAGAAAAAGTATATTAAAAGTCCAGGTCACAGCCATCATAGACCCTCTACATCTTGAAGCGATGAAAATCTAAAATTAATGAAACCGAACAGAATGTTCTCCATGGCAAAGAAAAAGCCTCTTGTGGAGCTGATATACTTGTTTGTGTAATAAGGAGTAAGGATGGGAGTGACCGTGAACCTGCTGACATCTTAGGCTGATTTAAAAAAAAAAAAAAAAAAAAAATTAATGAGGATGTGCCTGTGAGGTAGGAGAGAACATTGACAATTAAAACACAAAGAGAGAAACAAAAACAAAAAAACAGAGACAGAAGATTCATGATTTACCAAAGATCATGACTCAGAACCACTCACACATCCTATTAGGCCTTATTGTGATCTTTGCCCAGTACAAAGATTAATAGCATGATAAAAAAAAAGGGACAAGATTAGCAGTTGAGAGATTTGGTTTCTCCTTCCACGTCTGACACTACCAATCTCTTCAAGAACAAGTCCTTTTACAAATGGCGGAGGGTGCCCAGAACCATAAGGTGAGGGCATGGCACCAACTTTCAAGTCCCTACAAGATTCCTGGACCCTCAGCGGTTACCTTAGGTGACTCTGAGATCTCTTGCGGCTCTTCTGAGATTGTGTGATTTTATTTCGCTCCTAAGGATGGGACAGCATTATCAGAGAGAAGGAAGAGTGCATCTCATGTACATTGGTCACTCTCTTACGTGGTGTTGGGTCACCTTGTCATGTGACACAGTGGTTTGATATGAATCAATGTTTTTATATCAAAGTTTGTGAAGATTTACTTAAAACATAAATTAGAGCAATTTCGTCATGTGAGTTTTCAACCATCATTTTCTCAAAAAGTCCTGGCATTCACTGGGACAGAGGGAGAGAAATAGACACAATGGAAGGACTATACAGACACAGTTAATATAACAATAACCACCGTGTATAAAGACACATTTTTGAGTGAAAAAAAAATTTACAAAAATACAGAACTTGGGTCTCTTAAACTTACTGAGTGATAGTATATGAGTAAGATTTGGGTAATTTAAGGGATTTCCAAGGGAAAATCTGATCTAAGTACAGTCTTAGACATCTATATATTCATCTATGCTGTAATATATGTAAGAGAGATGAATGGATACCATTTATATTTTTTTTCAGTTAAATAATAGAAGTGGTTTTTTTTAATTTTATCTTATTATGTTGTTAATCCCCATACATTACATCATTAGTTTTTGATGTAGTGTTCCATGATTCATTGTTTGTGCATAACACCCAGTGCTCCATGCAGAACGTGCCCTCCTCAATACCCATCACCAGGCTAACCCTCCCTCCCACCCCCCTCCCCTCTAGAACCCTCAGGTTGTGTTTCAGAGTCCATAGTCTCTCATGGTTCATCTCCCATTTATATTTTAAAGTTTCCTTACAGGTGTGAACTTCAGCTATGTTGAATGTGTATTACTCTGCTTCATGTCAGTAAAATAAAACTCATCTGCATTTGGATTTGGGACTCAGAAGCAAATAATTTGAACATAAAATCGAGGCTTACCACGAATGCAACAGCACTTCTCAACGTGGATTCCCACTGGAAGCAGCTTTTAAGGAACTGTATTGTATTCCACATTGCCATGGTGATTCTTTTCACACGGTCTATATCCCTTGATAAGATCTAATAAAAAAAAAAAATGGAAAACAAGGAACTGGATTTAAATACTCCAAATAGTCTCTTTAGATCAGGCAGCTCAGTCATTTAAATTACATTTTGCATAGCTGCCAATTAAAAAAAAATAATAGAAAGGAAAAGTCCTAATGCTTCTTCTAAAATTCTTTTTAAAACACCATCATCCATGGAAGGAAAAAAATACAATGTACTCTGTAGCTCTTTTGATGGAGAATAGCCTGTTTCAATAATATTCAGGACAAAACTGAGCTGGTAAAAGCTATAGCAGCAGGGCATTCGGTATGCGTGTGTGAGAGTGTGTGTGTGTGAGTGTGTGTGTGTGTAAGAAAAAGAGAAAGAGAAAGAGAGAGTCTATATTGTTTAGTTTAGAAGGAAATGGATGGATTTTTGCAGAAACTAGATGTCCAAGTATTCTAGCTCATGTAGTCCAGAAGACAAAGTCTACAGGAAAGTCTAATTGTGGGAGGAGAACCCAGCTCTCCCACCTCCTAGCTGTGCAACCTCCAACCAGTTTCCTAACCTCTCTTTTCTTATACGATGGGGTTGATTTTAGTATTCACCCTGTAGACAGTGAAGAAAATTGAGGGCCTTTGAAAAGTGCCTGCCACATAGTAAGTGATCTCAAGTACCTGCATCATAAGCACAAGCTTCAACTGTGTAAAAATCTGCAGACACACCGTGGTGAAAGGCACATAGGGAAGATCCTAACAGACCCCAAATCCCCTGGAGCTCCAGAGCCCAAAGCCACCCCATGCGGAGGTCCTGCTTGGCAAAGGAAACGTCTTTTTTTCCCAGTTGTAGGCAGATTCATTTCAACTTGTTTGCAAAGCAATTACCCCACCTACTTCAACTCAGGTTTTAACTTTCGAATAAATAGGGCACAAGGCAGTAATAATAATAATAAAAGACGTTTACTCAGATTACACCAAATAAATATTAGACTCAATGTTATGGCAGACCAAAACAAAACATTGGGATGCTCCCTTCAGAAGACATTCCAAGCCCTTCCCAAGTATGCCCAGAAGTTCATGGGAAACAAAAGGATGAGGAGATGCATTTATATTTAACTGCTTTGTGTCATCCACAGCTGCTCACCCCACAGGAAGTCGTGGAAGTAATAAACACTTTAAAAAGGGGACACTTTGTTCTTTGTTACACAACTGAAGAGGGACAATAGGTACAGAGTGAAATCCTGGACTGCTTCTGAATAAGACAGGGAGGGACTCTGAAAAGAAACATAAAGGTCATGTTAAAAAAAAATGCAAAACTTCCCCTACTGGGCCCAGATCATCCCTTTTTGTTAAACTGATGAGTGAGGAATTAAGGGAAACAGGCAGAGGGAGACAGTTAACTCAGAATGAGGTAAAATGCCAACACATCCCAAATATTTAGACAATAGTGGTAGGAGCAGCGTGGGGAACCTCGAGGCTAGATGCCCCTAAGATCCACCGGGCTGAGGAAGTTAAGGCCTCCCTGGGCATAGCACCTCCCTGAGACCTTGTTAGGACAGAGGCGGAAAGGGCCTTAACTGACTGAGGCTAGCAGGGAGAGCCAAGTCAGAGAATCTACAGAGGCTGACACTAGGAATGTTCCTTGACAGAATGACTCAGGAGATGAATGGAGGGCTGACACCTTCTACTTCATCCAACATCTGTGTTTTCAGTCTTTTTCTTCTTATCCTGCTGACTTTGGTCCTTGTTCTGGGACAGATGGGGAGAGGTGGAGGGAGGAGTGGAGGTGGGGAGAAGCTGGGAGAAGGCGGGGTGGGGGTGGAGACAGAGAGAGAGAGGGAGGGAGAGGGAAGAAGAGGGAGGGCGGGAGAGGGGGAGAGAGAGAGAGAGAAAAAGGGAGAGGGAAGAGGAGGAGGCAGGGACGGAGAAAGGTGGTGGGGGGGAGGAGAAGGGTGGTGGGAGGAAGAAAGGAAGTAAGATGGGAGGAAGGACGGAAGGGGGGAGGGGAAGGGAGGGAGGGGAAGAGGGAGGCGGGGAGAGATGCTAAGTAAGGACAATTAAGCACTTCCAGTGCTGAGTGTACCACAGAGCCTGTTTACTGTACCCACCTACCTTCTTGGACAGCTTGCGGGTATCTTCAACAAAGCGCTTTTCTCTGGGAGTGAAGGTCCTAATACTTGCTTTGACCTAGAAAGACATCATTGTTTAAAAGGGGGGAGGGGCAACATTTAAATGGACTTCATTCTTCTCTTTTTCTTGTTAATGACTGGGAAGAACGTGGAAACCAGTATCTTCTGACCCTAGGGCCAAGGGCCTTTGGCCAGGAGCAGAGCGATGGGGGGACACATGGAGGACACCCCTGAGCTTTGCGTGTGTTCCTGGGTATCTCATTTCACCAGCACACTTGGGTAGGTCAGACTGGATCCAGGAGACCCCAAGAGTTTTGCATCCACTTTGCCAATCAATGGAGGTATTTTAAAGCACTGAGGAGGTTGAGTTCAGCAGACTCTTGAACCAGTTTCTAAGAAATAAAACTTCCTTCCCATCAAGGTTTTGAACAATATTTTCACCAATAATACCTTGTCTGTGAAAATCTGTTTCCTGCTTATAAAAACATCTTTCCACAGAGAATCTCATTTCCTCTCAATTCTATGGAAAAATAAGTAGATGAGTTATTTGAGACCCATTTTATGGGGAATAAACTGAGGCTCAGAGAGATTTAGTGGCTTGTCCCAATCACCGTACTGAGGAAAAGCTCAAAGAATAAAAATTCAAGTCCCTCTCCACTCCATAGGATGGACAACTGGAAAATGAAACAACTGACATATTTTCTTGGTTAAGCCTTCCCTAAAACTCAGGTTTTACCTGTGTGCATAGACTATTACAAGTGCTTGCTCGAAGAAAACAGGAAATGAAGGGTCATCGGTGAGGACTTCCTTGAAGGGAAAGCGAACTCAATGGGAAGAACGAGGGAAGTAACACCACCACCTCCAGACTGGAGACTAAAAATATAAGCTGGAGTGAGGGGTGGGGTGGGAGGGAGGGGGTGACTGGGTAATAGACACTGGGGAGGGTATGTGCTCTGGTAAGCGCTGTGAATTGTGCAAGACTGTCGAATCTCAGATCTGTACCTCTGAAACAAATAATGCAATATATG